ATATATTTATATTTCTTTTAATACGATTAACAAAGTGTCTTATTAATTTGTCGAATAATGTTCTTTTTTTTTTTTTACAAATCAATGGGGATGATACAAAAAGGTAATCGTGATAATATCGGTCAAATATAATTCCCTATATTTTATTTTATATTTTAAAAATGWTACTATGTTTTTCTTAAATAAATTCAATTTATTACACGAAGTAAATAAAATAATTATTTTTATTCTTCATATATTTATATTTCTTTTAATACGATTAACACAGTGTCTGATTAATTTGTCGAATAGTGTTCTTTGTTTTTTTTACAAATCGATGGGGATGATACAAAAAGGTAATCGTGTTAAGAAATAATTAATAAGATTGATATAAAATAAACGAGGAGAATTATTCTTATTGATATTTATTTGTTTTTTTTTTTCTTTTTTTCTTTATATTGCATTTAACCAGTTCAAAAAGAGAAAGAGAGAGAGAGAGTTATCTTGTTATCAAACTAATTTAACCGGGTAGCTTTTCATCTAAAAACTTTTCTCGGTGTTGTCTCGATACACACTTCGCCGAGTCCGGAACGTTTCTGACTAAAGTTTTTGACACACGCTGACGAAGAATTTTTGCGCCTCGATGAACTTCCTTCTCATTTCTCTATATATATTTTGTATTTTTCGAAATATTTTTATATCCAATTACATTATTTTATTTTTCGTAACTACTGCGAAGACTCATGAAAATTATAAAAATCAAAGAGACAGTTTATTTCGTATTATTGCACGTCTGATCTTTATTTCTTTTCTTTTCTTATTGAAATATATTTTTTATATAGAAATCATTTACGGTAGTAATTTTTTCTTCTTCTTTTTTTTTTTTTTTTCTTTTTTGATTCTTATCGGCAGCAAAGACTCTTCAAAATTGTAAAGTCAAAGAGGAAGCTTTTACTATTGCACGTCTGGTCGTCGTAGAAAATTTTGCCGTAGCACGTGTCGCATTTTAAATGCATCTCACGAAGTTTGCCGGTTGGTTTAGAGAACTAAGTGCTACGTGGGTCAGTTGAATCATATGTATGTGTTAGAATGAGAGAGTGAGTGAGTGAGTGAATGAGTGAGAGAGAGAAACTACGATTTTCAATGGGGAACGATAAAGGAAGAAGAAGAAGAGTTTGGCTTTGGAGATAGGAAGTCGTCGTTTTCGGTTGAGAAAAGTTATGAGATGAAAGAGAGAGGGAATAGAGGACAGAGGAGGGACAGAAAAGGAGAGAGAGAAAGAGAGAGAGAATAGGAGAAGAACGTTCTTGAATACACCGTGAACGGACTACCCCGGAGATTTTATTTTCTGCTCTGAATACGACTGTCTCTTAGAATGGGAACTCTCTCTCTCTCTCTCTCTTTTTCATTCTTTTTTTTCTTGTATACATCCTGTTGCTATTACTGCTTTCGACGAGAAAATTGGGAAAAAAAAAAATAAGAAAACCATAGATAAAATTAAAAAAAAGAAATATATATATATATATATA